AGAATATTCAGACAATTTCTGGAGCAATAACATGTGTATCCTATAAACTATATTAGTACAAATAGGTAACTACCTACCAATAACATTCAAAATTGAGCAAAACGACAGGATTTAACTTCTCCCGAGATAAGTAGGTAGGTACCTATATCCGTTTAATACTTTGATATATATACGAATAAAAAAGGAGTGAAGAGCTAGAAATCAAAATAATTGTAAAGTAAATATAAATTGCTATTAAAAACACTGTCAAAATGTTACAAGATATATTTGACAGCCGATTAACTTAGTCACGATGAATAAAACACCTTTAATAATGACAGCTGTTCGGAGTGGAATACGTAGCTCTCTCATTCTAACTGACATTTCTGAACGAGGGTATGAAGCATAAAACATTTTATAAAACGTGTAAGGCGCGACAGTTGTTGAGGTTAGGCAGGTGAACATGTCTGAGGTCGTCATGAACTTGAAAATTAATTTTAAATATTTTTAAATTTACTCTAAGACGTTATGAATTATGATGAACTAATAACACTAGTTTTATCATTTCCGGTAAATCCACTTTTTAAACTGAATTAAAACTATACTAAGGTATTTCGAGTCGAATGAAATAAATATTTTAGTAAATAAAGTGGATACTGAGAAATTCAAATAAATATGAAAATGTAATTGTACACACTACACAGTTTAACTGAAAATTCATCTTTGAGTTTTGAATAGGACGAAGAATCAAATATAACACAGAAAATGATTAGTTTTTTTTAAAAACGCTTTCAAATATATTATAAAAATTATTATGTTAATATATATATAGGTACACTGGAATAACATAACCGTGCAATTAGTTTACCTAAATTGCCTTTCAACACGCCTGTGATCAAAATTTTAGTGTTGAACAATATTAGAAAATAATACATCAAATTTTAAATTTTGAATCCTTATAAAGAAAAACTGTGTGATTATCTTTAATATTTTTTAACTGCTATTTAACAACATATGAGAAACTTAGTATTCAATTTTAAACGATTGACTTTCAAATGTCTATAAATAACTAAAAATTTGTCAAATTTTATAATGCATAATAAAATGATAAAATAAACATTCTTTTCACATTTCCAGTACTTACTACCTATTCATTTTTGAATTACAAGAAAATAAGAAAATCGTACGATGAGAATTCATCAATCTCCTGATAAACATCCAATGTCAAAAATAATTAAACTTCAAACGCTCATAAATAATTAGTTTGACTTTCCAGTAAACTTTTTTTGGTTAAAGGTAGGAAAATGTGGAAACATGTATCACATTTTCAAGTATTTTGATCCAGCATGTTTATCGACATTAATTTTAAAAACTAATAAAAATAAAAATTTAACTATACCTATCACTAGCCGTCAAAATATTTTGAAATTTGAAGTGCATAAAAAATAGTGTATCCAATCAAAATGTATAGTATTTAAGGTTATAAGGTTTTAGCTTCATCAAAAAACCTTAATTGATTATGTCAAAAAACTGGTTTTGCTTAAAATCTTCCCTCAATATTTTGTTTGTTTTTCCTGGAGCTCTTGCAAACTATTATGAATTTTTAAATAGAGATATTTCGAGTGACACATAAGCTACAAACATTTGGTACACTGTAGACTTGATTGTAATTAGCAACGGGACTTGCAACAAAGAGGGGCGATTGACACGTTGCCTCCCATAAATCCACTCCTGTAAAGTAATAACTAGGGCTAGGGACTTCTAGGAGTTTGCATGTTTTTAAATAATCATTAAAAACATAGCTAAGTATTATAGAAATTTGTTTCATAGCAATACGAGTTTAATTTTAAAATTTATAGTTGCATATTTTGCATATTTGACCATTTTTCATTTATAAGTGCATATTTGACCATTTTTCATTTTATATGTGAATATTTGACAATTATTTATATGACTTTATAATACATAGATTTCCTGTACCTGAGATATAATAAATATTTTAATATATTAGTATTTGTGTTTATCTTGTAGATCACTATTGTATTGTTACTTATATGTACACAGACCGCGTGATTCCCCATAAGTCAAAAAAAAAAAAGGTGGGCAAGTGGGTGTCGCTCTGCTGTACAGTAGGTTACAAGTGGGTCACTGTATAATGGATGGTATTAAATTTGAATTCAATGATATAATATCATTGTATAAGAAAAACGATTCTTAGCGGTGACGGTATGTCAGTCTATGTATAAGACATATTATATACATATCTATGGTATTAAACCAAAATTGACCTATAATAGGTACCTATAATAAATTACAAACTAATCATATCACAATATCCATTAGATACTTATAACGCGTTATACATCAACAAAAACCGTGATACTATCATAGATATATAATAGTACACTTTAGAAGTTTCAAGTACCCACGAATAATATTATTCAATCAAAACGAAATAACTAAAATCGTAATTCTTGGTTTAAATATGAAATTTTGTCTAAATTTGAAATTAAAATGTCTGTAAAAAATAAGTGTGTTTATATATTTTTTAGATTTTTTGGTTACAGTATGAATTATTTAAGAGAATCTTTGTTTTAAATTTTCAACTCTTAGTTATAAAAACTGAACATTTTATAATTTTCGAGATTTTGATAAATTTTGTCAAAATTCCAACTTTAAATGCTTATAAAAAAAAATCATGCCTATGTATTTTTAATATTTTTCAACTGCTATTGTAACAATATATCAGGAGCCTTGTATTAAATTTTTACACTTTTTGGCCCAACAGATACACCTTTATTGATATTTATAGAAAAAAAAACTAAAAAAAATTGAAAGCTGTAAATGTCCATAAACAGCTCAAAAAGAGTCAAAATATTTTCAAAATTGTATGGTGTATAGAAAATGCTAATTTAAAGATTCAGTGAAATTTTCATGTATCTACAGTTGTTTGTTTTTGAATTGCAACAAAATAAGGAAATCGCTACATGAGTAATCGAGTGAAAATCCAATGTTGTAAAAATTTGAATTTCAAACGCTCATAAAAATTTAATTTGACTGTCCGGTAGAGATTTTTTTATTGATAAAGGTAGATAATCTTATAAGGAATCTTGTGTTTCATTTTCAAATCTTAGATTTAAAAAGAAAAATTTTTACGAATTCTTAACTCAAAATAATTTGCTAATTTTCGTGATTTTTCCATATTTTGTCAATTTTTGAACTTTAAATGCTTATAAAAAAAAATTGTGACTAAGGATTTTTAATATTTTTCATCTGCCTTTGAAACAACATATTAGGAGCCTTCTATTAAATTTTCAAGCTTTCGCAAGCAACAAATAAAATTTTATTGATATTTCTAGAAAAAAAACTAAAAAAAAATGAAAAATGAAAATGTCTCTAAACAGTTCAAAATAAATCAAAATATTTTGAAAATGTTATCGTGTATAGAAAATGCAAATATAAACAACCAGTGAAAATTTCATGTATCTACGTTCATTTGTTTAAAAGTTACACCAAAAACCAAATTCGATTTTGTCAAAAACCGATTTTGCGTAAAAATTCCCGTTTTTCCTTAATTTTTATGTTGTTTTTCCCGGCGCTTGTGAAAACTACTGGGAAATTTATACTTTTGACCCCCCAAAGTACCAACTAGATTCACTTTCCTATCAGAAAAGCTACTGATGAAGAAAATCCAAGCACTTTTACTGTCCTAAAACGTGATGACAGACACAAAAATATAAATAAAAATATAAAAATATAAAAATATAAAAACATACATCATTGTAAAACCAATACATTCATCGCTCCGCTCAGAATCTAAAATAAAACTAATTAATTAATTAATCAAAAAATCAAAATAATCAAATTAATCTATATTATAAAATGTAGCTATTTATCTGTCATATCTACAAATATTATTATTATTATTTATTAATTATAAGTTATTAGTTTATTACAAATATATTATATTTTTTTTAAATGCATATTTAGTGATTCTGTAGTGCATAAATGCATGCATATTTTAAGGTTTTTTAGGTCATAAAGTCCCTAGCCCTAGTAATAACTAATAACTATTAACTACAGACTTTATCATGCCGCAGTGGAGTGCCGAACTGACAAGCAGACCTGAAGCAAACTATACAATTTGATCAGGGGGATCACACCACCAACAGTTTTTTCACTATTTTTTTTTATTATTCAAAATAATAAATATCATTAAGTTTTTTCAGGTATAAGTTGCACATCTACACTAACACATCCACCCACCTAGCCAAATTTTCCCCGAGGCAATTGCCTCAAAAAATTACTATTCAGCACGCCTCTGTAATGCCGTATTTAGGTATGCTATTATTTGCATTTCATGTATGAATTCAATATTTGTGATTAATAAAGGAACGAAAAAATTTTAACTTAAGTAAAAAAAATGTTATGATAAGAAGTGTAAAACACTGAATTTGTTTACCGATCCACACGATCAATTATAGTATTACATTTAATAGATAACTTTAGGGTTTCCAATAACACTATAATAATATGATAGTGCCAGTGTTTATTCATAATAGATGCCCTATCCGTCATCATCGCGTGTATCAGTCAATGTACAGCCAAAGGTGTTAAAAAAAAAAAATAACCAATCGATAAATAAAGCAAAATAATATGGTCAATGTCTCTTTCCAATTCTTTGTTTTTTTAATGAACAAAATATTTTGTAAGTATTACGTAAAATTAAAAATAATAACATTTCTTAGATTGATGGTATGAAGAACCAATTTAATAATTAATAATTTTTCGCTTGATGGAAAAAAATACAGTAGAAAAAAAATGTATAAATAACAAAAAATATAACCCAGCTCCAACTATTTATGTTGAAATATTGCGAAATGATTAATAAAACACTTTACGTAGGTACTAGTTTTAACATTATAAAATAATTAAGTTTGTATCTAAATTTTGCATTGTTTGGGAATGACTTCTGAATTGGGTGCAGCATGGACGTGTACATCACTTAACGTTCCAGCTGCTCACTGAAAATTCTTGTCCAACAAGTCTTTAATAGCAGCACAGGATATCATGTAACTGTCATTGGACAGTTTGTCGTCGATTGTGCTTGGTAACTGTTTCAGACCGAGCTCGGATACCGCGTGCATTGTGCTGGCACTCCACTCCAACACTGGGGCATCTGAAAAAAAAACACAAGGTGTGATTTCATTATAGTCGTTACGGATCGTAGGTATCGATATTATTGTATCAACCTTAAGCACTACACATTTTATTTTAACTGCCGATAAAATATACGAATAGGAAGTTCAAATAAGTTTATAAGTTTATAAGTTATAACTTTATAAGTTCAAAATTTGCATAATTTTTTTATTATTATATTTAAAAACTACTACTATCTGGAGAACAGTATATTTAAAGTGTAGACATTTTTATTATTATTTAAATTAAATATTAAGCTGACTATTTTAAAAAACAGTACCTATTAAAATTTATAACATATTAAATCTATATGATCAATATTTTTACAATTTTTAATTTACAAAGAAGTTAGTTAAATTATAATATCATGTAGCTTTGCTACATAGCTGTAACTTATAAGGACTTAAGAGAACATAACACTGGTATTTGTTGTCTCCATCTTACTAGTGCAAAACATAGCAAATTTACGCTCAGCAGAACACTTTAGTTTTGTTAGTTTAAACATTAGAGTGAATTGGCCTATTATGAAACTTGATGGTAAGAACAATATCTGTGTTTGTCCATGGTTTTTTACGATAATTCAGTTTTAAAGTGAGTTATGAGCATTTTTAATTTACGGTATATTATAATATACACATAACTTGCTAAAAAATTGAACTATTGTAAAAAACAACATACAAACACAGAGTTCTGCTGAGCGTAAATGTTCTATGTTATGTTTTTGTAAGACGGAGACAACAAATACCAATGTTACATCCTCTTAATAGTGATTTGTATCTAGGAACCAATTTGTAATGGTGTCTACAACGAAAAATATTTAATTTGATCTGTTAAAACGATATAATCTGTTGGCTTTCAAAATATCGGTTTAACAACTATCTTAATTTTATGTTTGTGGGGAAGACTTGAATCCCCTTTAACGATAATGTGTACTGCAATATTTTTATATACAACATACCTTTTAGGTAACATTTGTGAGCTGTAGCTGGTAGGTAGATAAAGTCCTTGGTCATTTTCTTAATGTCTTCGACTTTTGTCAAGTACTCCATTCCCCAGTCCAAGAAATAAACCATATAGTCGTTGTCGTTTTTGTCCAAATCGTTTGGAGCTTTCACACATATAGCCCTATACCACAACTCATCGACTAGAACAAAACATAAAACAATTTTTTTCAAAATTTCAATACAATAACAACGGGATGAAGGTGGTTAGTTTGGGGCGTCGTGGTCATTGCCCAGTCTTCTATTACTCACAGTACTTGGCCAGACAGAGTTCGTTTTCGGCTGGTGTGTACAGCGGATCAGCAGCGGTCAAGCAGTGTTCTTGGATTTTTGCTTCCAAATCCGCTAGTGTATCGTCAATCAGATGGTCCCTCATCATCAAACAGTCACCGTTCACGCACAAGAACGTCAATGTTTTTACAGCACCCTTTAGCCATCTTGCGTACTGCACATCTTTGATTGTCAACATGTTGGAAAACCGCTTACTGTGATCGGCAGCACCAGACATTTGCTGTTCTTGACACAGGGTCATACTCTGAAAACGGTAAGTGTGTAACAAAATAAAGTACGAGATTTCGGTTTGAAAAATATTTATCAAAACACCCGTGTAGAGCGAACAGTACGACGACTGCTTACCAGTAGGTTTTGTTCGTTGCGGCTGTTATTGAATTGAAACTGTGCGGAGTCTTCTGGTATGGGGGTCGAAGAAAACGACGGCAGCCCAACATTGTCCTGAAACGACGAATTAAGAGACGTATAAACATGTATTTCGAAACGATCGAAAACATAATATTATCATTAAATATTAATAATGTGTTATTTACTATGATATGTACACTACGAACCAGATCGTCGTAAGATTGATCTACTGTAGATCCCAGCAATACTTCTACCACTGTGATATTGTCCAACTGCAAAAATACAATTAATTTCAATCTGTTTAGATTCGAACAAAAAACGTAGTTATTCCGTCATAATCGGTTTTTATTCATTTGGAAAATATTAAAAAATTATTTACGCCAAATTAATAGGAATTAATTTTGTTGAGATTATGTAGGTAAGATTGTAAGAACACGAATAGGAATTTGTAATTACGAGCGACACCAACCAACCCAACATATTTTTTCACATGCACACCACAAGTGTATTAGTTACAAACAAAATACACCATTCACTGAATTAATACACGTAATTTATGTTCAGGAATTCATAAATTATTAGAAGTCTCACTACAGACTTAAATAATTTATTATAATATCCCCATCTACTGTAGGTATACTTGTATAAAAATCCAGATTTTCTAAAAACTGAAAACTTTAGTCATCGAGTAGAAATATAATTAATTCATTGTTCAATGTGTCTATTCGTTTATAGTTTTAAGAAAATATAATATAATATGTACAGAAAAATTTAGTAATTAATTAGAATTAAGTAAAATATATTGGTTTTCGATTAACAAAAAAAAAATAATAAAAATAATAACTTCAATATTCTTTGCAATAGTTAACTTTTACAAATATAAAACAGTAGATTGTATGATTTTTATCTAAAATAAACATATGATTGAATTGCAATTAATAAAAAATCAGTGACGTGGGTCGTACACTAAACTGCGGAAGTGTTAACGGAGTTTACGTCTCGGCCGGTGTTGCTAGTTCCCGGAGGGGTGACCACTTGGGACTATTAGCAATAAATCCTTGCCACACATACAAAACGTGTCCCAAGTACAACCGTTCCTCCCCACTACAAACAAAAACAGCTAATGGCCATAGTTTCCGGGCTTTATTCAATAAAAAAAAATTTAAAAAAATCTTACGTGTTTTTTAGCAATAATTCTGAACGATGTGACTGCTAATTTTTCTTGCGGTTCTGGCTGTATCTCGATATTCACCAACTGAAAAAATTGGACATAATTAATGTCTTATAGTTTATCGGACGTTTTATTTGAAATTTTAATTATAATCCTATTTTATTAGATAATAATATACTCAATACATAGTAACACCAATAGACAATTGATGGTTCGCGGACCCCGTTTGGTGTGCACGATTATTGGTAATATAATAACATAGATGACAAGAAACCAGGATTTATTAATAAACCAAGTTCTTTTATCAGATTAATTACATCAGTATTAAAATTAAACATTAATTGTGGAATATCTTTTTAAGATATCTGTAGGTAAGCGATATTTTCAAAAGCGATATTTTAACTAAAATACGCTTGCCTTTTTAGTTTTTTTCGATTGAATGAAGTGGATTTTTATAATAATATAGATTAGGTTAAATCTATAATGACAAAAATTATTTCCAAAAGAAATAACGTCTGATGTACTTTGACACATCCGTTATTTACGTCCAAGTTTTTTTAAATCGATAAAACATTTTTAAAAATCTGGACAGACCCATGTGGTAAAAAGAAAACATAGTATTGATCAAAAACCACCACGGGAGTGTGCAGGGTGTGTGAAATGGTTTTTGCTAATAATATAGTTTGTAGTTCGAAGGTAAAATAAAACTACAAAATATGAAATATTGCTTACAAAATCCTTCTTACATCATATAAATTATTTATGTTTAAAACTATGTAATTATAGTTAGTTAATTGATGGAATTATTGTTTTAAAAATGTAATAATTTAAGTTATTATCTAATAGTTAGCCGTATGTAAAATTCGTACAAGTTCATTTTTAAACTAATATAATAACTATATTCCGGGTTTTTGACATTAATGGTGGAATTAGCCAATATTCATCTTACTTTGTTTAATAATCCGACGATTAACAGACCTTTGTATAATTTGTGTGCCAAACTTTTCTCGTTAAGGTATAAGATTTACATTAAAAATAACTATGGTTAGAGCAATAAATATTTGAATGAAGGTTCCTTCATATTATTAAGTATGAAGTTGAAGTCCTCGTTAACAATGTAATAATTAATAAATAAAATCAGCTATAAATGCACAAATTATGTATGCATTTAGGTAGGTAGGTATAGGTAGGTAACCTAAACATAATTTACTTTAATAAATAATAGTTAATACATTATAGAGATCAATTGGATTCTTAAAAAACGAATTTATATTTTTATTAACATCATGAATGGAAAATATATATATATTATATTATTATATTATATTAGGTATACACGATCGTTGTATAAAAATAAAAGTAGAAATTTGAATAAATAATAATATGTAAATTATAAGAACTGAGATGGAAATAATTATAAATAAAAAAAAACCCAAATTGAACAGACAGTAATATTCGGTATTCCGTTTACATTTTCTGAATAAGAATATCTATAAATGATAAGTATAAAATATGTAAATTGTATACTATATTACTATACTTGCATGTCCATATGTATATTATATTTATATATTTATACCTACACTCATTGATCGTAAAATACTAAAATATGAATTTCCAAATTAATTTTAAACTGTGAACCTGGAAACACATTATGTTGTATAATTAAGCGAATTCACTGATTGGTGTATTTGAATAATATATAATATACAAACATAATTTACTCCGTTTTATATTGTACCACCTCAGACCATACATTTGATATACATACTATCGATTGATAAATATACGTACGTTACGATGACGTTGGAAATCAAATTATTTTGAGAAAATCCAATAAATAATCATTGAGTTAGGTGCCTACATAGTAATATTATATTATATTATAGTATTATACAGTACACAGAAGAAATTCTATGCTCAAATTATTATAGTTCTTACAATGCACCAATACTACACCACCACACGCTAGGGAAATATTGAGTTAACGTTCATTTAATTTTTTTTTTTTTTTTAGGTCCAAAAACGCATTATAGTTGGTAGGTAGGCAATAAAATACATGTCGTTCGATTGAATTGCAAGGACGTATACATCGCCGTTGAATCGATCGGGCGCACACAATACACAGAACACACAGTATGGGTTATAAAAACGGAAAAGTTTGAGGTAAAAAAAATATAAAACACGCGTGGTAGATCACGAAATCCGGACGGGAGATTTATTCCGCGCACCGTCAGAACGGTTAGGTTAGGTCCGCAGTTTCCGGAAAATTCGGAGGTGTATTTTTGAAAGTGATATGATTTGTCGACCGCTGTTTCACACGTATTTATCGTCGCACGAGCCACAAAACGACAATAATAATAATACGTTCCATCTGCAGTCCACCCCAGTAAATAGGTTAAATACTTAGATAATATACCTAAATCCAACCCTGACGGCGACTTTGGATATCCGTCCAGCAAAGTTCTTGTCGTTATTATTAGTAGGGATCAACCAGGGGTGATCCTTATTAATTTAATCTAGAGTATAATATTATTATGTATAAATGTTCAACTCATAACGATTTTTTATGATTTTTTATGTTTGAATTATTATGATAAATTAAATATGAAGAACATTTCGCAATATTTGGCACATCAAACGAAGTATGGACCACCCTACCCTTACAAAATTATTACTGAGTTACTGACTTGAACTTTGTTACAAATGCATATTTATACAAAAAAAATAATAGAAGAAATATGTAGACATTGGTATTTTTTCTTATGGTCGTGTTATGGAATAAATATAACCAACAATCAGTCTTGTAAAGAATACTTTTATTTTGTATTCGGAATACATATTCGAATAAGTGAGAACTAAGGTATTCAGAATACGTATTCGAATAGTTCTTCAAAAATATATTCAGAATACATATTCGAATACTTTTTAAAAAAAGTATTTAAATAGTATTCGAATCCAAAAAAAACACTTTTTTTCACAACTAGTTTTTGTCAGTTTTTGAATAGTTGGTAATTAACATTTATTAATTAACAATTAAAAATACATCGTAATCAAAAGTTATTTATAAATTTTGGCCACATATGATACGGCCCATACGAAATACAATACATTGGAGCTTATAAAAATAATCATATCATAGGCCAATATTATACTTCGTTCAAAGAATAAAATTAATGACCATGATGTTCATGATAAAACTATTCAGAAATACGTATTTGAATACTTTTTAAAAAAAGTATTTAAAATAGTATTCGAATCCAAAAAAAGTATTCAAATACTTTTATTCGAATACATTTATTAGTAGAATACTTTACAAGACTGCCAACAATGTATAAAATACTACGTGTCTATTGTAAATTAATATTTTATTTAATTAAAAATTAAAATAAGCTTTCTGTAAAAACATGCAAACCCTATAATAATAAATAAACAAGGACGTAATCTACATGCTTACTTGGTATATTTTTAGACCATTCTATAGTTCTAGTCCTCATTAGTAACATAATTATTATTCGCAGTACGTGTTCTACCTCCGTCCAGAGCACACGTGTGTTACGTATTTATTAGCTTTCGATAGCAGTATTTATTTATTATACATCAACATTCTTCGGGTAGGTATGTAACCTAACCTAACCAATTCAACCCCTGCGAAATTGCATCTAAAATCCAGAACATCTCAACAAAGCCTCCTTTCTGGGTAAAGAAATCATCATCATGTGGATACCTGGCCACTCAGGAATAAGAGGCAATGAAATAGCAGATGAACAAGCATCCATAGCCATTAACAACAACGAAACCGTGCTAATAAACCAAATGTCATATTATACTGACTCAAAAAAACTCATAAACGAATATTCAAAAAATAAATGGCAAAATCTATGGAACTTACAAAACACTAAACTAAACGAGATAAAAAGAGACATCTTCCGGTGGTCAAGCCCAAAACTCACTCGGAAAGAGGAGACGTTTCTTAACCGACTTCGCATAGGACACACCAGAATCACTCATGGTTTCCTCATGGCCAGAGAGGATCCTCCCATTTGCCAAACCTGTGGAACTGCATTAACCGTCTAGCACATAATAGCTGATTGTTTAATGTATAATCAAGAGCTAGGATATCATACCACCTTCACACTACACTTGGACCCAATCAAGAAAATATCCTAGATATAATTAATTTTACAAAATAAACAAAATTGTTTAATCGTATTTAAAAAAAAAAAAATGTTCTAATCCTAATTATTTATTCTAATATCGTATATCATTTGTAAATATTTGTAAATATTTGTAACTAATGGCCTTTGTTGTCGATGTTATTGTGATCAATAAAAAAAAAAAAAAAAATTATTATTCGATATAAAACAATAATATTATATTCGACAACAATAATATAATAATTAATAACACACCGCCGAGAACGAGAACAATAAAAATAAATAAATTGTTGAAAGGAATTCCAAGGAAACTTTTTTTTTGTAATTTTTCGTTTCTAAATTAAAAACTCTATATGTATTTAGCCAAGTAGGTATACAAATTTCGGTATACATATATAAATTTAGAATGATTATTATTTTCTTTTCAAATGTTTCACGAAGGATGGTGAGGACGAATATAGGTATGACCCACGACACACATAATATTATTAATTACGACCGCTCGTAATACACTTAATAGCGTTAATAATTAATACTAATATAACGAGTTTAAGCCCGCTTTTAATTCGAACTTTTAGTCGACGGCAATCGTTTACCCAGATGAACAAAACGTTCATAAACCCAATCCTCTTTCAACGACGCACCCTTAACTCAACAAAACCGAAAAGTCCCGGTAAACACAGCGTCAAACAATTTAACGATGCGGAAAAACCGTGAAGTCTCGAAGATAATTTATAATTAATATTTTAATAATATCGATAATACAAAATGTTTATTTATTATGTGCGCATACGACGACGGTTTAAAAACCGTTTTATATTATAAGATGTTACTTTTATTTGGGTAGCCGTAAGCTTTGCACTTTTAAAGCGGTATTTTTTAGAACTGTTTCGCGGGAAAATGTTACGAATTATGGAACGAAATTAC